TTTTTTTTTTTTTTTTTTTTTTTTTTTTTTTTTTTTTTTTGATATGTCATAAGTAATTCAATAATAAAATATTTAATATTGTTATGAATAATTGCGGAGAACATTAGTACTTATATGATATAAGTCTTTTACAGTATTATTTATATTTATTTTTGTTTAATTCTATATTCTTCAATGTAATATAGAATATGCTTGTTTATTACGTATTTCTGTAAATTTTAAAATGAATGCATATTACTGGAAATACGAAACTTAATATCCATGAAATGGAATTATGCATTCTGAAAAGGCACGCAACGAAGTAATCGAAGAACGTTCAACGTGTTAAGAATAATAACATATATTTATTTTCTTATACTCGATATTATGTTATAAAATCTTGTTTTATTTATATTATTATGTTTTATTTATTCTTTGTAGTAAGAAAAATCCAAAAATGTGTGTAGAATTTAAAATAATTATTTGTGTATAACTGCCGTATTATTTTGTTGAATAAGTAAAATTTCATTGAAAAATTTGTTTTTAAGTATGATTTACTTCCTAGTACATTTGTATATTTATAAATTGCATTTTTTCCTTTATTTCCATGTTTATATTTATATATTAATAAATGAATAATTTTTGTTACTAGGTAATGTTTAACTCTATTAACTAATTATCTGGCAATATAAATTAATACATTTTATTGATTGTTCAAATAATCATTTCTTTGTGATATTTTTACGGTACCGGATATGTACAGTATATGCGCGACTAAAACATTAATGCACAAATTCATATTCTATAGTCATGCGAAAATATAATTAGTTTGGAAAAAATCGAGTTTACGTGTTAATTATATACGTTTCATATATATATATTTAACGATTTATTTTTTCGTGAAATATTTGTGAAATATATTAATAGCACGGAATTTGCGTGTTAATGAAGAATATGCGATCACATAGTACTGTACATGTCGAAGTGTATCTCTTCTGCAATAAATCAGCAGATTTGATATTCTTCGACCATATTGCAGTGTCGTCAAGCAATTGCCTTAAAGTGCGGCGACTTTGGAATTCTTGCGCCAACAGGGTGCACTCGAGACGGGTACAGAGACGAGAAAATAAAAAAAAAAAAAGAAAACGTATACTTTACGCGAAGGTTTTCTTGAAATTATATGGTGCTGAATACATAAATATGAAAAATATGAGAGGAAAAAGATCACAATGATACCAGAGAAACTACACTTTCTAGAAAATAAAAAATGGGAGAGAGAATGTATTAAGTAAAAAGATAGCTAAACTAGATGAAGAAAAGAACTGGAAGGAAAAAAACGATGCGAGTATTGCCGTTTAAGGCAGAAAGGAGCTTGTTATTGTGAAACGTGATGTTTTTGGAAAGCCTTGTATATGTGCCAGCTATTTCAATTTACATTTTGATGGTAATTATATTCGTAAGTTGCATAGAGCTTTATTTTCGCCGTAAATTACTTTAATATTATATAAAAAAGAAAAAAACAAATGCAATATATTTAATTATTCGAGTCAGCATATAAAACGTCGATACCAACATTTTAAATGCTGTTTCGATATCATGATCCTTTGAAACGCTTTTAAAATATATTGTACCATTTATTTTATAAATTTAATTTATAGATATTATTAAAGATAAAATTTAATTAAATTTTACATATTTAAAATAAATATTTCAAAGGATTAATAAACAATTACATCAAATATCATTAAGATGTTCACTTTAATTATATAATATTTGTTATTTGATATTATATCCAATTTTATGTCATTTTATTTCATATATTATTAGGGAAAGGATAGTTCTTTCATTTCATATTTAATTGAAGATTTTTTCACGTTGGTATCGGCTAATCTAATATTACAACGATCTTGTAATGAGTTAATACTTGTAACTCAGTTTCCTTGATTTTTATTTAATAAAATATCAGTATGCAATTAAAAAATATTAACTGACTATAAATTTTTTCTGTTTAATAGATCCTACCCATACTCACCTGAATCTTCGACCTGCACTCCCGATAATCTGCTTTATATCCGAACCGTCAAATTCCAAAATATATTCTGGATTTCCACATTTCTTTAGACTATTATTCAATATCAAGCAGAAAGTTTAATTGTTAATATTTAAATAGTCTTAAATCAATAGTGTACAATGTCGGATTAAGTATTTTATATAAACTGTGTACATACATTATATTATGCGTGTATAAATTTATTTTAACTAAACTTTTGTTCTCTTTTCATATTTATTTAAATAATTATTTATAATTTAATTTTTTATTTTTTTTATTATTTTTTATCTTCGTTTATAGAAGAATTAAAATAAAATCTGTAATAAAGATGATATAATTAAATATTTACTTATACAAAAATAATTATTCAACAATTTATAATATTTGTTTGCAAATAATAAATTGAAATTTTTAATTAATAAAGTTATGTTTAAAACTTTAATAAATGTTCATATAAAAAATTTCTTTTATCATTTGTGAAAAAAAAGATAAGATTTCTACTTGTTATCAATATTTCTTATCATTACGTTGATTCACACGTTTATATCTATATCTTTATTTTACTCTATACGTGATTCGAATATTATTCATCTAGATATTCTACCTGTGTTTTTAAGTGTTTTTAATCGTATTCGTTTTTTTAACGTGTATATTTTTAATTAAAAAAAATGTGTTCCAAAAAATTATTATGTTATGTTACTATTGGTCTACGTAAGTATATATATTAAATTATATTATATTTCAAATATAATATCCTTAAAATTAAAATTATATATTATTTATAAATAATAATTGCAAATATCTATATCAATATATTTCTGTGTTTATTATATCTTAAATTATATTTTACTAATTTATATAAAAATATAAAACTAAAATTCAATTAAAAATCTTCATTAAAATCTTATATATATAACATATAAAAATAGCAATTTTTATTTTTTTTTTTTTAGTATCATCCTTTTAAAAACCATTTAAACTTATTTTACATTATTATTGTGATGAATTTTTGACAGCAAAATGAATTAGTTTGTGATCTTTAATTAAACGACAAATTTTATGATAAACTAAATGACAAATTTAAGTATTTTTTAAAAAGATAGTATTATTACAAAAGTAAAGAAAATGCTGATACAAAAATATAAAATAGATCAAAAATATAAATATGGAATACATTTTTTGTCCTATGCTTCGAGATTTTAAAATTTGATTTATAATAAAATTATAATTTTATTAATAGTGGAAATTAAAATTATAAAATTATAATATAATAAAAAATAAATGAAATATTATAGTTTAAATTATAGTTATGAGTGATTAAACAATTGTGTACATTTTAAAATCGAAAATATAATATATATATTTTTTTATATTAAAAATTAACATCCATTGTAATTTTGAAAAAAAATCGATACAAGTGTGTTCAAATATTCTATATTTATTTCTTCTGTGATCCATATATCAGAAATAAACAAAAGAAACAAATAGTTTCAAAGATAGAAATAGGATAAAAATATTGAAATTAATTAGCGTCTCCAAAAATCTCCAGAGTGTAAATAAAAGAAAAAGTAACAAATAATAGAAAAAAAATGAAAATAGGAAAAGAATTAACTCTCAGTATTAAAGATTAATTTTTTTGAATAATAAATACATTTTTTTGAATAAAAAAGGAAGAATTACGGATTAACGCCATCTCACGTTTAGATCATCGAAGTTTTGACTTATTATTAGTATAACAGAATATGCAAAGAGATATTCGAAATCGCGTGACGTCACATCAAGAAAAATAATATTATGTGAAAAAACAAAAAATATTTCATTCAATTCGAAGATATCATAGAAAATTTATTAATTATTTGTTTTCTTTATGATATAAAATTCTTTTCCATTAATTATTTATTATATTAATGATTAATAAATTTATAATAAATTAATTATAAATCATCAATAATCATTTATAAATAATGAACGGAAAAGAATTTTACAAAAAAATTAATATAAGAAACTTATCTGAAGTTTTAACCTCAAAATACGAATTTTAAAATACAAAAATTTTGAATAGAATACTTAATGAATTTTCCATGTGGCATTCTCAAATTATTTAGAAATATTTTTTATCCTTCTCGCATAATATTATGTTCCTTATAACATCACACGAATTCAAACATCTTGCATATTCCATTATGCACATAACAAATCGAAGCTTCGGTTATCCAAGAAGTTTATCAAACATGAGACAGTGCCGATAGCCATTTCTATACTATTTTTATTCTTCTTCTACTATTGCTTGTCTTTTCTTTTTATGTATTTCATTTATGATATTCTGGAGATGGAGAATATTGATTTCAATATTCTATTTTTTTTATTTTTTTTCTTCCATTATTTATTCTTTTATATTTTACAAAATATATGTATTTAAAAGACAGTTCCAATTAACTATCAAAAACTTGCAAGAAAAAATAAAATATTTGTCTCATATCATTTTAATAATGATATTTTTATTTTAAAATTTTTACCAAATTTTTATAAAATCATATTTTGTTGCTTATATTGGATATTATTATATTAAATGTATAATTTTTATAATTGTATATTAGCAAAACTAGTATATCATTTAATATTATTTATATATAATTTCATAATTTTGTAAAAAAATATATGTTTTAAAAAATAATATATCTTATATTATTCATTTTGAATAGTAATTATGGGAATCTTTATGGATGGTGTCGAAGCGAGACGTAAAATTTTGAAAGGTCGAAAAACAATTACGAGACGTTATTATTGTAAGTAAAAATGATAATAAAAAAGTATAGAAAAAATAATATATATTAATAATAAAATCAAATTTTTTAGGGGGAACCGTAATACCAGCATGGTCCATAGTACTTTTGATAGGAATCAGTATGTTACTTGCCGGTGGTGGACTTTATGTATTATTACAAAAATTTGTAGTTGATAATGCTGAGATTGAAGAAAGTCATTCATATCAACCTGCATTACAAAATGAAGCTTGATTTATATTAAATGCACACAACATTATTATTAATGCTTATTATATCATTCTTATACTTCAACATAAATCAAATATTAAAATATTAAAATATTTTTACAGAAAAAATTTTATATAAATATATTGACAATTCATTATTTATTTTTATGTAATTCTGCTTTAACAATAGTTCATTTTTTTAACTATTATATATGATTAGTTTATTTTTGTTACTATTGATTAAAAAAAAATGATACCTCTATTTATACAATGGTATCCTTTATATTATTTCTTTTTTTCTTTTTTTTTTTATTAGCAATTTTATAAATTATGAATTACTTTTATATGGTTATATTATCGAAAGATACGTAAATTACAACAATTACAATTATCATTTAATGCATGTATGATTGAAAATCAATTACATTTCATTTTGTACATTTTGATAAAAGAGAATTATTAATTTTTGGACTCATTAGATTATTATTCGTTTAATATATATATTATACACTGGAGTCAATTAGTAATTAGTATGAAAGAAAAAAAACCTATTTTTTAAAATTCTCTGCGATGATATTTGTCAGGATCAAAATATGATGTTACAACAACGCGATTATTGAATTTTCGTCCTGTTAGAGTCTGCTGTGCTTTCTGACAATCAATCACGCTATTAAATTCGACAAATACCTATAACATAAAAATTTTGTTAATATATTATTTAAAATTAAAATAAATTAAAATATTTATATTGAATAACATACTTTCCCACATCCAGGTACATCAACTCCTTCTATAGGTCTGGGTATTTCCACAGATCGAACCACACCATATTTATTACATTCTTCTTTGATGTCTTCTAAAATATCTTCATATTCTTCTTCTTCCATTAATTCTTCTGGTGTTACCATATTTAGCAAACAAAGAACCTATATATAATAAAATATTTTTTTTAATCTAATTTTTTATGATATAATTCAAAAATTATAATTTAATACAAAGATAGACAAATATAATATGCAAATATAGATTATAATTTAAATTATTTTACCTCAGTAGCAGGTCCACTTGTGCCCACCATTGATAGTCCAGGCACCTGAATTTGGACTGGAGCTTGTGCACCAATCATTGGATTCTTGGCACCAACACTAGCTCGTTGAACAATCAGTTTCTTGTCTCCTAACTGCATTCCATTTAATCCAGCAATTGCTTGATCAGTCATTGATACATCAACGTATTCGCAGAATGCATAACCCTTGGATAGACCTGTAGCTGAATCCTTTACTAGATTGAATGCTCTTAATTGTCCGAAACTCATCAGTAACTCCTTCACCTGTATTGTAGAAATTACATTACTTATTTAATCATATAATATTAATATAAATTCATGATAAACTATGCAACTTTTAAATCTACTTATAATTTATATTTATTATAAATTTTATATTTTTCAATACAATTAATATATAATATTAATACAGATATTTTTTATTATTAAAATGTAATAATTACGATAATTAATAATTTAACATGTTTACTGCATATCAAAAATATGAGATTTGACTATGTATTATTTTAAATAGATTTTAAATATCTTAAAAAGTTATGATCTAGATTAATTAGACATTATAACAAATTAATTTTTTATGAGAACGTCTAAATATAATCATAAATATAATTTCATTTTTATAATACTCCAAAATTTTAAAAAATGAAAAATATATAAATTTTAATGTACACAAAAATATAATGTATATAAATATAATGTATATAAGTATAATACAATATATATTGTAAATAATACATAAGAAAAAATAAAATTATATGATTTAAATACGAATATATAATATACAAATATACAAATATAAATATATACATTATATATTATGTAATATAATCAAAATTTCATAATATTATAAGATTTCATATAAAGCAAAACTTATTTATATTTTATACAAATTATATACAATATATTTGACAACTATTTACTTATAATATATAATAATATGTGTAACTTACACATATACATAAAATTTTAAATGTGATTAATAAAAGAATATCTTGAATTAAATATATGATATACAGATAATCATGTTAAATATAATTATATATTTTATTTTATTTGTTAAAATATAAAATTAATTTATATTCAAATTACCAAATTATTAAGATTAAATTTAGTTTGAAATTTAACAATTTTTAAGAAATTAAATTATATCATATGAAAGTTGCATAATCCAAGAATAATAAATTTTTTATAAAAATGCATAAATTATATCTCAAGAATTTCATTTATCATTTTCATTTAATGTCTTTCTTACATACAAAAGTTTTACTCCAGTCTGGAACAGATCTCAATGTTTTGAATATTCTTGCTCTTCAAATGTGGATTTTCCTTATATTTATATTAATTTTCTCTTCAAAAAACATGTACCTTAAGATTACTTACGTCTTTCCATTTCCAAGAAGTACTGAAAACTCTGAAGCAGAGATAACAGCATGTTGCATTCATAAAAACTTATACATCCTCATATTTGGAAATCAAAACTTTCAAATAAATATAATCTATGTAATTTTATCACAAGTTTTCATAATCAATTCAATTTTTTCAAGACATAAAATGTAACCTAACATATCTTAAAATATCTAAGAAATTATATACTATCAAGGCATTCCAATGAAGAACCCATTAGAAAACCATCATATATATATTTGGATATACATATACTACATATATACACTATAATATTTAGAAGATTAAATTATTACTATTTTAAGTAATTACAGAAATAATAAGATTAATTCCTATTAAAAAATCTCCAAGAAATCAATCAACATTCCCTATCATGTTATTAATCCTTGTGAGTAAGCAACACGCTATTATCAATAAAAAACTATCCAATTAGAAAACGCACCATTTACTTAGAAGAACCAAGATCTTCAGAAAGGGGGCTGCAAAAATCGCATAAGCCCAATACGAAGGCATGAAAATGATATAAGTACTTGCCTCGAGGGACTGGGCTAGCCTCTCTCCAGGCAGTGTGGTATTTTGTCATGTTCAGTAGTAGTAGTAGTGGTAGAAGTAGTGGTAGAAGTAGTGGTAGTGGTAAGCAAATGCTTTTGATCGGCGCAACCCTAAGCTAAGAAATGGGGAGAAAGGGCACTGGTATCAGTCCACAGTTACTATATAATAACCAAATGGTTATATTTTTTGTGATTGTATTATTCCAACAATGTATCACTTTAATATCACATTATTAACTTTTCCGACGTTTTTTTCACATTTACCGACTTTTATTTTTCTTACTTTCTCTTTGCACTTTGTCTTTGTATTAATGCACATTACTGATACTCGAACACATAAGTTCGTTCGCGTAACCTGTAAACGTAACAAGGCACAAGGACGAAGAGCTGTAAAGCCTGTAAAAGCCTGTAAAGAAAACAGCTGCAAGAGAAAAGATACTCCTGAAAAGAATAGATGCCAAAAGACTTGGAGCTGTTACCAGATGCACATAAGATTATGTGTTGACCCTGTAATCCCATCAAGACAAAAAACAAAAAAACTGATATGCTAGATAAAATTGATTGATTCGTCTGTTATAATCCTAAAAAATCTTTTTGTATATAATACCACTAGATAAAATCAAACTCATTCTGTAAGAGTGAAAATATGAAGAACTTTCACTTTTAAAGTGATTTTTGCCTAACAATTTTGCATATTTGTTTTGAGTGTAACTACTCCTCTTCTCCCCTCCTATCCCTTCCTTTTTCAGTCACTTATTGAAAAATTTCGTATTCCCTTGGCTGGGTCCACGATGTTCCTAGAAATATTGTAAAAGAAATACGACTGCTGCGACTGCATACCATCTGAATGCTGCAACGCCTCTAACCAATGCCCTAATCACTATCTAATCATGGTATTTTGAGAAGAAATACGAGACGAAATTCTACCTTAGACTTGACCAAAGAAACAAATGGAATTGGAGCCACCTAGCTAAATAAAACCTAATCAACGCTGGAATCCAATGGATACACATACATACCTCTATGGCATTTGGGCAGATGATACCATCTTCGAAAGTTTGATCTCCGCTAAATAGCTAAATACCTATGTAATAATTTAATCCTTTGGTATAACTCACAATGCTGAGAACTAGCATATGTTTAAAGTAATCCTACAGCATTGTTATTACAGCAATGCAGTTGTTTTAATCTCTGATGTCCTTTGTATGTATACTTAATATATTTATCAAATTTTTCATGAAAAATAACAGACATCAGTGAATAAAAACTGCTTCCAAAGGTGTGCAATTAACGAAACTGTGTTATAGACTTGTTTGCATACCTGTTCCTCATTCAAGTAATTGGGTAAACCACCAATGAAGATCTTGTGAGGAGAATCTATAAAAATAAAATATTATATTATACATTACATAACATAAAAAATAAATATTTTAAAGATATATAAAAATATAAAAAGTATGTATACAACATACCGGGAACCGTACCTGGCACGTTCATACTTGGATTATCAGTCATTCCTGGCATTGGCTGATAATCATGTGGTCTTCTTATTTTTAAGCTTTGTCCTTTGAAGTTGATACTATCAAATGCCATAGCTTGTGTTGTTTCATCTATTGAACGGAACTAAAACGATTTTTATGAATACTTTGTTATGGAATTATACAAATTATAAATTTCAAAATTTGATTCTCAAGTAAATTTTGTTATACCTCTAAGAAAGCAAAGTTTTTATCTAAATTGATCTGACATGCTAATACTGGATTTCCAGCAGCTTGAGCAAGACCAGATAGATGCATTTGTTGATTAAAAAACTCCATCATTTCTTCTTCAGTTACACCAAATGGAATGTTTCCTACATAAAGTCTCCTTGCTTGACGAGTTATTGTACTGCCAACAACTGGTACAGCTGCTTGCGGTGTATCTGCCACAATGTTTGCAGGTATTTGTCCTGCAGCTTGCATAGCTTTATACTGTTATAATTATAATTAAAATTGAATAGAAATTTCCACAAAATTTGTTTTATTTATAATTGCAATAAAGTTTAACATATCAACTATACCTGCAAAGGAGTAATATGTTCAAATCCAGGTGGTGGAACATCCCAATAAAGAGATGCTTTTCTTCTTCTAGAACTTCGACTTTTTTTAGGTGAACTACTTCTTTTTCTATCTCTTCGATCTTTGGAACGTGAACGAGAACGTTTTCTACGATCTCTACTACGAGATCTGTGTCTTCTATCACGATCTCTGTCCCTATCCCTATCCTTTTCACGATCTTGACGGTCTCGATCTATAGAAACATACAAAAATTACATAAAAAATACATAAAAATTTATATTATATATTTAATATAAATAAAAAAACTATATT